TTTTCACAATAAAGACAAAACATATGATGTGCCTAGCATAGATACTAAGCCACAGTAAGAGTTAGGTAAATGTTTACTTATCCTTGCCTAACAGACTTAATTGGCACTGTAATGACAATACAGTCTTAGCCTCATAAGGCTTGTTTGCCTTACTCCATATTTTCTTTTATTCTTTGAGACAGGGTTTCACTCTGTTGCCCAGGCTGGAGTGCAGTGGCATGATAACGGCTCACTGCAGCCTCAACCTCCTGGGCTCATTTGTTCCTTTCACCTCAGCCTCCAGAGTAGCAGTGACTACAGGCATGCACCATGATGCCTGGCTTATTATTATTATTATTATTATTATTATTATTTTGTAGAGACAAGGTCTCACTATATTGCCAGGGCTGGTCTTGAACTCCTGGGCTCAAGTGATCCTCCTGCCTTGGTTCCAAAGTACTGGGTTTATAGGCGTGAGCCTCCATGCCAGTCAATTATTCACTATTTATACAGAATCTGGGGTGTCCCATTTAGGGCTATTTTTTTTCAACCAGACCATGAGAAAAACGCACCTGTCTTACTCCCTTTGATTTCTTGGGTTCCCATCTCCAGCCAGGTTGGACAGTTCCAGCAGAACCTGACACTCAGTACTTTCCAAGTCACTAGTACCTCGTATATAGCAACTTGGGGTTTACTTGTTAATTGTGGTCATGCCTCCCATGACAAGCAGCACAAAAGCGGGGACTGTGGATTGTCTACTATGTGCATGGAAGCTGCCTAGGTAGACTCCAAAAGGGGGAAACCAAGAGGTATACTGGGGTTCCTGTTCAACTTTCCAAGAGGTAAACTGTATTTGGAAGCTAGGGTAGAAACACAATGGTATAAAGAGCATTTATAGCAGTAAACACTCAAAACCAAGCAAATGGTGCCAAGCCCATGTGGAGCAGTGGAAAGAGCAGTCACGGGCTTGGGGGGAGACTCATGTGAGTTTGAGTTTGAATCCTAGCTCTATCTTTTACTAGCAAGGTACCTTGGGCACGGGGATGCAGTGGAAAGAGAAAGTCCCAGTGTTTTCATCTGTAAAGTGGAGGAAAATAACACCTGGCTGCTGTGATGATAACACACTTCCTTCCATCTTTTGCTTATTTCCCCCTCTCTTCTAGACAACTGGCATCATTTTATCTGCTAATGAATTAGAATTGGTAGTAGATGACTTTTATCTGCCTGTTGGTGACCATAGTCCTCTGTATACATAAATTTGCATATTATCAAGGAAACGCTTATGAAAAACTTTCAGTGGCTGCTCACGTCTTACATGACAATGACAAAAAGTGTCCCACCTCCTCAGCTGGCATCTAAACCTTCCCCCAGTCGGCTCCAATCCTCTCCTCCCGGAACCCCAATCTCCAATCATTCTTGTGCCGAGAGTGCACACCACCAGGGCACTGGGTTTGGGGGACAGCTCAGCCCAGCCTTGGGGATGGTAATGATGGTAAAAAAGGCATTCTCACAGGTCGCCCTACATGTAGGTGTCAGAGGCTGGCCTGTGTGAAGCAAACCCCAGGGCTCTTCCCTCCCTCTTCCCCTCCCACCCTGGAGAGATTCTTTTAAATCATGTCTCCCTCCTCCACAGTGTTTGCAACACCTCCTGATTTAGTTTTCTCTCTGCATGGCATTAGTGTCCAATTTACCTCATCCTCCTGATCTCCCAGGCAGTCAGGAGGAGGCTGAGTTGGCAACAAGGACTCTGCTTCCTGGAGAGCAGGACAGGCAGAGGAGGAGAAAGGGGCCTCTGGGCTGCAACGCCAGATGGTGTTCTGGTCCACTCAGCTCAGGACAACAAACAGTAACTGGGTCCTATCCGTGTGCTAGGCACTGGAGGCTCAAAGATGAAGAGCTGTTTTTGCCCTGGAAATCCCCAGGCTCATGTGGATGGGTGGATGATGCCTGTGTCATGTGCTGCAGGGACTTCACCCTCCTAGGCAGGCAGAGCGAGTGCGTGAAAACGGAGCTAGTGGTGGGAGAGAAAGACAGCGGAGATCTCCAGGGAGGAGGGAACAGCTTATGCAAGGCTGGATGGTTTCAACAGTAGCATGTAAGCAAGTAACAGTATGGAATCCATTCAATGGCTTGTTCATATGTTCCCTCGTTTGTATTTATGGAGCGCCTGTCATGTGCTGGCCAACATTCCGGTTACAAGAACACTTCAGGGAACACTGTAACATAGGTCCCTGCCCTCATAGAGTTTATGTTCTAATGGAAGAAGACAGAAATAAACAAACTTATTTCATAATATATATCATGCTCCTGGTAGAAGTAAATGCTATGCAGAAAAGTTCAAACAGAAGAGGGACCCAGGAGGAACTGGCCTGGGAGGACTATTGCTTTGCACAGGGTGGTCAGGAAAGGCCCCTGCTCTCTCCTCCACCTGGCCCCACCATGGCCATGCCTCCAGCTTCCCATAGTTCCTTGAGCAGCGAACATGCTGGTGTCAGGGCCCTTTAGGGTGGCAGCAAGGCCCAGTGAGCGAGCTGCTGGAAAGATCTGGGGTCTGAGATGGTGCTCAGACCAGTGTGGTGACAGAGGAGAAGGTCACAAGCCCTGAGAAAGGGGGAGAAGTGACTGGATCAGTGTGAATACAGTATAAACCACAAGGGAAGGGATGATGGGAGATGAGCTAGAGTGAAAAGGCAGAACATTCCAGACAGAAGAATCCACCTGTGTCAGGGTTCAGATTCAACCCCGTCCTGCCAGACTCAGATTCTGCTACCTGATACTTTTGCAAAATGTCTTTCCTCCTTCAATGTGGATGAGTTTAATGAGCCTTGCTCTGGGCCAAGCTACGTGGGTGGCACCCACAGAGATGAGCAGCTGGTTTCTGGGTGCCAAGAGGCTCCCTCTGCCAGAGCAGGAGCTGTGTTCATGTAGCTGGCACACAGCAGGGTGTTGGGGAGCCAGGTGAGAAAGGCCTGGAGAGACAAGACTTTAGAGGAGGAAAAGGAGATCATACTTCTTGGGCTTGGGTGGGGTGAGACACTAAATTCAATGACCCTTTTAACTTTCATGTCGTCATTACAAGCGAGCATGGATGGGGTTGAAGAGGTTACCTTCAGCTTTTGTCTTAACATGCTGAACGACCCTCAGTCTTCTTATCTCAAAAATAAGGTCACAAGAACTTCCCCCTGGGGCTGTGGGAGTTAAATGAGCTGCATTAACAAGTCCTTGGCACGATGTCTCAGTAAGTATGAGCCCATTTTGCCTCTCTGTATGAAAAGCAAAAAAATCTTAATAGATCTCCTCAAAGAACCATATGTCTCTACTGCAGAGCATTTTTCTCAGTTCGCAGTTATATATTTTTCAGGGCATGAACAGAGGATACCTTTGTTTTTGTCTTCTGTTATATTTCCAGAGCCTAACATGGTGGTGGGTCCATGCTAAATCTTCAATATGTCTTTTGTGAATAACTAAATACATGACTAAATCAGAGACTTTATAAGGTCCAGACTCTAAAGTACTTGGCCCTTTGACAAGATAATTTATTTAAGTCTCTTTTTTTTGAGTCGGAGTTGCACTCTGTCACCCAGGCTGGAGTGCAGTGATGTTCACAGCCACCACAGCCTCAACCTGCTGGTGGCTCAGGCAATCCTTCTGCCTCAGCCTTCCAAGAAGTGGGAACTACAGACACATGCCACCATGCCTGGTAGTTTTTGTGCTTTATTGTAGAGACGAGGTCTTGTCAAGTTGCCCAGGCTGGTCTTGAACACCTGGGTTCAGGCAATCATCTCACCTCGGCCTCCCAAAGTGCTGGGATTACAGGGTGAACCACTGTGCCCAGCCAAATTTATCTAAGTCTCAATTCCTTATCTGTAACATGAAAATAATAACATCTAGAAGAAGTTACAACTCCTCAGGTATCCATGTCTTTCCCACATTTCCCAGAACTCTAGAAATCAGGCAGGACGATGAGGCTAATTCTGGCCAATGGATTGTTTGTCACTTCAGGAGCAAAGCATTTACAAGCTCAACCTTCCAGTGATTTTTTTTTTCCTTGCTGCAGAGACCATGGTGGTACATACTCTACTTGGTACATCTATAACATGGCAGAGCTTTCATCAGTCTGGTCCCTAAGTCACTAGGTAGAGCAGAGCCCTCCTCCAACTTCAGGTAGATATGTAGTGAGAGCAAGAAATAAACAGTTGCTATGCCAAGACACTGGGATTTTGGAGATAAGTTATTACTGCAGCATAACTGAGCCTAACAAGAATCATATTTTTACCTTGAAAGATTGCTTGCAGGATAAGAAAAAGTGCTTGGTACCTAGTAGGTTCACAGTAGGTTTCCTCAGCCTCTCTCATTCTCAGACTCAACGTATCATTCTACCCTTCTCTGTGCCATGTTCCCTCTCTAACTTGAAATACCCTTCCACTTCTCCCATGCAACCCAAGACTTCCTACTGTTGTATCATTGCTCTTCTGTACAGCAACATGAAGAAATGATTCTAGAATTCCATCCTGGTTCTTAGACCGGCCTCTGGACCACCTGCCTTCTGGGCAGCCTTCCATTCACCTCCCTGTATCCCATTCCCAACTATACCTCTGACTGCACTCCAACTCAGCTTGAGTTGGAACCACCTGACTCTGGGCCCTGCATCCTGATCTCCTGGACCCCAGAATGACCCTGATCACCACTGCTGCCTCATGGCCCTGGAACTGCCAAATGACTTCCTTGCTGCAGCATCCCTATCACACCCTTGCTGGTCGCCTGACCCTGGCCACACTGCCCTCCCACTATATTGGCTGCCATCTTGGTTTCCAGAAGCCTTTACCACTCACTAGTCTTCTGTATCTGCTCCCAAGAAGGCCATTTTTACTCTGGTATGTCCTCCTCCCTTCCTATGCTGCTGAGTGGCAAAAGCCTTCAACCAAAAAATATACATCTTTCAGATTCCAAAACAGTTTTTCTCATCAAGGTCAAAGGTTTACAGCTAATGACCGAAAATCAGAGAAGACAAGGGGACTGACCTGGCTCCATGTCAGCACTTCTTAAGAGTCAGCAGTGTCCGGGGGCCCTGCAGCCCTCTCTCTAAGGCCATTGGATCCTGGAGGACAGGGCAGGATCCTTTCTGTTGAAGCAAAGAACACAGATCCAGCTGAGCAAGTGGTGAGATATCCCAACCCTTTCTCACATACAGCAGACATTGTAACCACATGCTATGGGTACATGGGGCTTGCTCCTGATCCCACAGCAATGAAGATAAGTAAGCGGGATCCTGAACACCCTGTAAATCCCATATAAACACTTCCCTTATGCAGCCTTCCTCTGTTCTCCCATCTCACTTGTGCTATACAAGGCTTGTCTTACAGCCATTGTTTACAGCACAAGGGCAGGGACTGCAGATCTATCTCTCCACAATCCAGGCACCCAGAATGGGACTTGCAGCAGAGTAAGAACTGAGTGTTTGATGAACAAAATATTGACTGTGTTCTGTGATGGGGGGTAGATGGGGAATAGCGTACAGGGCTGAGGCCTAGGGCAGGTGGCCCTCAAGACAGTTCTGTCACTGATTCACCAGGCAAATAAGTAAGTCATTTGCCCTCTCTGAACTTTAGTGTCTTGCTGCTATGGTTTGAGCTTGACCTTCAAAAGTTTGTATGTTGAAGCCTTAATACCTCAATGCAGCAGTGTTGGGAGGTGTGGCCTAATGGGAGATGCTTGGGTTGTGAGGCTCTGCCTTTATGAATGGGTTAATGTCTTCTTATGAGATTGGGTTAGTTACCTTGAGAGTGGGTTGCTATAAAGTGATCCAGGCCCTCGTGCTTGTCTCTTCTGGACATGCCTGCTTGCCCTTCTGCTTTATGCCATGAGATAAAGCAGCAGGCAGGTCCTCACCCGATGCTGGCACAATGCTCTTGGATGTCCCAGGTTCCAGAACCACGAACTAAATACATTTATTTTCTGTATAAATGACCCAGTCTATGGTATTCTGTTATAGCAGCAGAAAATGGACCAAGACATTTGCTCTGCGAAATGAGCCAGTCTGTCCTGTAACACATCACATGACGTGTTGGAGTCACCTGGAAAGAAGTACCCACACAAAAGAAGTACCCATACTATACTGCTCATTGCAACATCTGGCAAATCATTTCCCTTCTCTGAGTCTCAATTTTCTCATCAGAAAGAGGAAAACTGTGAACTGGGTGACAAGTGAGGTCTTTTCTGCCTCTAGAATTTTATGATAATGAATTTGATTCTTCTCAGCATCTCCGGGACTAAGGAGATATCTATACACAATATAGGTTTTTCAAATGAATAAAGGAAATCTTGTCCCACTCAAAAGAAGTGTGAGGGGAGGCTCAAAGATTTTAAGTCATTTGCCTCAGGTCATTGCAAGAAAAAGAAAAGGAATTTGAACACAGGTCCTCAAAGACTAAAGATTTGTGTACTTGCCCTTCCACACTCATACACTAAAAATACTACAAAATGCCTTTGTATACAGAATATCCACAAGACTAAAAATAAGGCATGAAGGATATTCCACCTAGATATCTTAATAACAACAGCAACAACAAAAATCATTTTTTAGGAGTTCCCTGAATTCCCATTTGCTGAATATATCTAGGACTCTAGCTAAGAAAACATGACTATCTATTATAAGATGAGAAATTGTTGGTAATTCCCATTAAAAACAAAATGCTCCTAATTGTAAAACTGTGTTAGCTTCATCTGCATTTAATATGCTTCTTTATTGTAAATCCTCATTATTTTAAACAAAGACTATCTATTAGGCAGGAATTTCACTAGGCTCTGCCCAAGTACATAGTATCCCCTTTCTGCTCCCAGACGCCAGACTCCTGAACACGCCCAGGGTCGACGGTTTGATGGGTTAACAAAACACAGTTTGAAAGTAAACCTAGAAAAATTCTTATAAATCATATTCTATTCACAAAGATAAAAATAAGCAGTACAATACACAGGATATGACTATCATTTTATGTATCTCAAAAAGGCAATAATGGCTATTGTATCTTGCTTTCAGGAAACTCATAGGCTGGCAAGAAAAATAAGACACAGCCACACAGAGCTAGCAAGCTTGGGAGTTTTGTAAGAGAGATACAGATAGAGTGTAGTGAGTGGATGGATAGAAGATGGAGATCGCCTTGGTCCACAAATCATGGAAACCTTAATGAACAATGTATCATTTAAGTTCGGCCCTCCATCAGACAGTGTTAGGTGAGGTGACATGGAGATGGGGCAGTCACTTCCTATGAGGGAGGAAAGGCACAAGAGGAGAATGTAAGCTGACAAAGGACGCGTGTGCAGCTCAGCTTTGCAGCGTGTGTGGGCAGTGCTGAGGGAAGTGGAGGACATCACACCTGACAGGGATGGACCCTGAATGCCAGGCTAGGGAATATGGCCATTATTCAGTGAGCAACAGGGAGCCATCGAGGGCTGTTGAGCAGAGATGTGACATCATGGGAGATCTGCTCTAGGAAAATGAGATTGGCAAGGTTTGCACAAGATGAAATGGAAGAGACGGAGCCTGGGGCAGGCTGTTAGGTGCCTTGATCTCATTTAGCATCTACACAACTGCAGAAGGCAAGCTTTATCCTTCCAGACTTGCAGATAAAGAAGGCAGGCTTTGGGGGATCTAGGCTGCTTGCCCCACATCCCCTAGTGAGGAAGCAGGGGAGGCAAGAGCCAAGTCCTATTCTTTTCCGTTCTAGGTGGGCCACGAAGCGTGCATGAGACCTGTGTGCCTGACACACCTGTCTTCCCATTATCATTGCATCTCCTGCCCACCCAAGGGTATGTGCAGCTTGATTGTTTCCTGAGCTGTCTTTTGGGAGGACCCAGGTGGAATTAAGTGCAGAGCACCTTTGCTTCTGTTGAATACCCCCAAAGTGACCACAGATCAAGGAGATGAGATAATGCTTTGAGTTGAGTCCCAAACAACACCAACTTCAATCTCTTGTAGAGAAATTCAAAGGTAGCAGGAAACCACCCACCTCCCTGACAGGAAGTGCTTGCTTTTGTCTTTTTCTTCTAACCTAATCCTTGGCAATGGTAGCTGCTGTGGATTTAGAATCCCAGAGGAACATCTTTTGGATGCCCAGGAGTCTGTAGGGGCTGTGAAGAATGTCAGTGAGAAACTCAGCTTTCTATGCTGACGGCTGACCCTGCTGTTTAGGGAAGACTGCCCTGAGGACTCTTCACACAGACTTGGAGCTGTATCACAGCACCTGCAGCCTTGGATGATGCTTGTGATTCACTCCTATCAAGATGTCTGCTATGAAAACTTTAAGGAAGGAAAAAATTGCCTCATTCTAAACATGGACACAAGGCAGCTGTGCTATATGCTCGATGGTCAAGGGGGCAGGTATTCTAAAAAGAAGCCCAGCCTGTGGCAAGAGCCGGGATTTTGGAGGCAGGCAGAGAGGGTCTGAGTCACACCTCACCCAGTCACCAGCTACTTGGCATTGGCCAAACCCCTTAGCTTCTTAAGCTTCCTTATGATTAAATGAGAATGAAAATAATGGATTAGAGAGGATAAGTCCCAGGCCTTCAGTACACACATAATGCTGTATAATCATTTCTTCTTGTCTTTTATGTTCAACACTCTGGACATTGCTTTCTCGGCGAGGCTGCCCTCCTCCTCACAAACTTAACAGTAGAATAAATGGAGTTTTTCGAGAAATACTGAAACGACAACAAGTTCATACTTTCGAGCTACCTCTTATGACCAGTGTCTTATAATTACTTGTCTTTATGTCCTTCTCTTCTATCAGACTTGGGGAGCACCTTGAAGACAGTGACTGCTACATCTTTAATTACCAGAACACAGTATTGTCTGTTTCTTCCTTAGCGACCTTATTTTGAGGTCTAAACAAACTCCAGAGTCTGCAGTTCTAGGATTTTTATATTCCCAGCCTGGTTTGAAGAGTGACTTTAAGCAACACCTTCAAGAGTACATCCAATCTTCCAAAAACCATCTTATTACCATGTAAATCATTAGTGCAAAATACTTCACCTTGCTACTTTACTAAGAGCTTTGGTTTTTAATCCAAACCAATTATATGTTCCAATGTCTTCAATAACATCTTAATAATGCCGATCTCCCCAGGTCTCTGGACAGAATCAGACCTGGTTGAGAGAGCTGGGACTCATCAAATACTGGGAGGGGGCATGGCAAAGGGGGAAAAATGAAACAACAAAACTGGATTCACATCCTAGCTGTGAAGTTGGAATGACTCGGCATAATGACTGGGGTCAAAATGAATGTTTGGTAAAGGTTAATTCCCTTCTCTTCTGATTCCAGAGAAAAGCAAAGCCATAAAACTTGTTGCAAGTAAAGAAGGAGAGAAAAGAAAATCACCACATTCCTCGAGTCCATATAGAATATGGATTTTTTAAAAAGCCTTTCTTTCTAAAGACCGAAGGAAGCAGCAGGTTATTTCATTTTAATTATGGCAGCTGCAGCTGCTGCTTTTGGACTCAAAGATAAATTTTCAGATTAAAGAGAAAAAAAAATACACACCCACACATGGACTCACCTAGAAACTCAATTGCATATACAGAACAGCATTTGCTTCAGAGAGCATGCTGAAGGAATGGAAAAATCTGGAATGTCCTGCTCTAGATGCTCTGATCCAGGTGGAAATCCCTACACATGTTCACATTAATGCCCCCCTTGCCTTCTCTCTACCCCGAATGTTGAAGACCAGCTCTGAGCCCAACAGTGCATATTTTTAACACACGCAAGGGAAATCAAGGCAGCAGATGGTTTTATTCAATCTTCCTATGATTTTTTAGCTGGGAGTCCTCATTCATGAAGACCTGAAAAAGTGTTTTTTATGAGTCTTCTGTGGGTTGAGCCAGTCGACTCTGGACACATCCTGTGGAGGAAATGTGTGTTTGCCTCTGCTAGTGTAGGGAAGCTGGGAAGAGCTCATTTGCCACTTTCTGGCCTGGATTCCACTTGATATTCTCTCTTGTGGGTCTTCCTGTCTGGACACACCAGTGGTTCCTCATGTTGGCCATGGCAAACTGTGGCCAAGAATCCTTCACAGATACGCTGCCAAATCTGAACCATGGGTAGCTTTCTGTTGGACATGCCTGAGAAGC